GTGTGTGTGTGTGTGTGTGTGTGTGTGTGTGTGTGTGTGTGTGTGTGTGTGTATATGTGCGTGTGTATGTGTGTTTAGGGGTGTGTATGCATGTGTATGTGTATATGCGCGCGCGTGTGTATGGGTGTGTGTTTATGTGTGTATAGTTGTGTTTATGGGTGTGTATGTATGTGTATGTCTGTGCGCGCGTATGTGTGTGTATGTGTGTGTGTGTATATGTGCGTGTGTATGTGTGTTTGGGGGTGTGTATGCATGTGTATGTGTATATGCGCGCGCGTGTGTATGGGTGTGTGTTTATGTGTGTATAGTTGTGTTTATGGGTGTGTATGTATGTGTATGTCTGTGCGCGCGTATGTGTGTGTATGTGTGTGTGTGTGTGTGTATGTGTGTGTGTGTATGTGTGTGTGTGTGTGTGTATATGTGCGTGTGTATGTGTGTTTATGGGTGTGTATGCATGTGTATGTGTGTATGCGCGCGCGTGTGTGTGTCTACGCTCATGTGCATATCAACGCACCCGTGCCACGCTACAATTCAACGCTATAGCCAAACCTCCGATAGACGTCACCGTACATGGAGCGCCTGCATTTCTTTTCCCCTCACTTCCCAACAGGCAGGTGGCGATGACGCAGTTCCAGCCGACGTCTGCGCGGCGGGCATTTCCTTGCTTCGACGAGCCGGCGCTGAAGGCCACCTTCAAAGTGACCATCGTCCATCCGAGCGAGATGAGGGCGCTGTCGAACATGCCGGCCGGCCGCACGCACGTGATGCACGACCGGCGCTGGACACGCACGGAGTTCGTACGCTCGCCCGTCATGTCCACCTACCTGCTGGCGATGGTCGTCGGAAATTTTGCCTATCTGGAGACAACGACGCGCAACGGCTTCGTGGTAGGTTTACAGTAGGTTGACAGTCAGGAATGTTGGAACTTGCTGTAGGTGTGTAGCGTGTTGTAGGCGATCATGTTGTTGTGGGCGATCATGTTGTTGCAGGCGAGCAGGTTGTTGTAGGCGAATGCGCGTAAATGCACGCTAGCCATTGTATCACTGAACCCACATATATAACTCTATCACCGCACATACTCCACCACTGCTTCAAAGCCACGCAATGCGCACGTTACCCGAAATGAAGCTGTAGCTACACTATACATACGACGTGATCTTTTCGTTCATGCGTGGATTATGAGCCAGAAATGACCCCTGTCGATACCCAAAGCGTCTCCCTTTGATGCCAAAAATAATATCGCGTGATCTTCCTCGCAGTCTCGTAGTTTGTCTATGAGATCTCAAGAATAAATTTCGCATGAAATGACTGCAAATCATATAGGACAACATATTATTACACGCAGGGAAGGCTGAATATGTTAACTAATCAAGACACGGCGTCTGAGTCATGCAATCGTTTTTTCCTTATTGCTTTTTCTTCGCAGATATCTATGAAACTTGGGAAATTGCCATGTCAGAAGGCTAGCACGCGGTCTTTGTCATATATACGGTGTATATAAACGCAAGAGCACACTCAGCCGAACACTTTCGCACGGCGGGATTATGTTCTGATATAAGAACCGCGATAGCTTATGCAAGACTGACACAATCCAAAGAAACATCGAAACATATCTCGATGACGCGCCTTTTTTCCTCGTCGAAACCCGATGCGATACGCATGTGTTTAGTCTGCTTACGCGCGCGAGGGTTTGCGTTTTTACGGAGCGAGGGGACGGGCGGGAGGCGGGAAGGTGCGGCGTTTTAGGGACGGGTATCCCGCTGCGATGTTTGAAAAACCAAGAGAAATATCAGCGATCGTTTCACAGCATCGCAGCGACTTCTCCGCTGCACCGGAAGCAGACGACACAAATCAGGACGATGTCGCTGATTAGCCGTTCACTTGTCATCGGCGCGGCTAATCCTGCTTGCGAGACGCCCTCTGTGCTTCAGAGCAGAAAGAACATCCCAGTGGGCAGGTCTTGTTTTGTCTCAAATAGAACGGAATTATTTCTTTAACGTTTTTCTATGCTAGGCTTCGGAAGGAGATTCTTTAGTTGCGAGAAGGTTCGTTATATCAGTGTGCACAGACACGCGCACCGGATGCAGCTAGGGTTGGTGGCGGCTGACTTTTTCACTGTTGCCACAAACATCTCCTACTTTGTAACCGTTTGTGCACCGCAACAGCAACAACAAAAAAGACTTGATTTGATTACTTTGCCACTGCAAAGCAGCAATTGTTTGTAAAATGGTTAGCAAGTATCAACCGAAAACGAAACGCCTTCGCCGATCTTGCACAGACGCCGATGATGTGTTAAATAAACCGCAAAAAATGCGTCATATGCGTGCCGTGTGGACTGAACGAAATTCGCGTCCAACAGCCGCTGTTATTGAGCCGAAAGTGCAACGATGTTTAAATTACATGTCCAGCCTCATCGAGTTGTGTGGGAAGTGTAAAGCTGACAAAACGCGCGGAAAATGAGATTCGAAATCGCATGAAATTATTCGCACGAAGTGCATAATTTGTAAGTCGAAACACTTATCGCCTCAACACGCGGCATGTGTCATTAAAAACCGAGCACGCCCGTCAATTCTCGTCCGCTCTATCAGTTCTGCTCACTACTTGCGCGGGGATTGACGGAGAAGATGCTCGATGTCGTATTTATTCAGTGACAAATTTTACGATATACGCACGTAAAGAGTTTCGCGCGAAACATTCAGTCGTATGATATAAGAACCACGCGGACAAACACTTCGTTCGACGTTTATGATATACTCAAATGAAGTGCGCGTGCGCATATGTGATGACCTTGTAACGAAGCCGTAGCCCGCAACCCGACGCCATTAAAACCATTAACGGTAAAGTAAACATAAATAAGATACGCAAATATATAGAAAGAACGCAGGGAATGAAACAAGGCTTAAGCCCTAACAAAATTTAAGCCCTCTGCGTATCCTATTATGTGTCAGCGCGATGGAAATATGTTAGTCACTATATATATATATAACGACCAGGCGGCGCATTTCTGCTATTATGCATCGATGCTCTGATATCCCGCCGCATATTACATCGATAATAAACACCGCAGAATTAAAACACGCATATCGTTATGCATCGATTCCATCAGCTCCGAAAAATTTAGCGTACACGCGTGTTGCTGTCGATGTTCAAGCATAGTCGTAAATAGGGCAGATGTCCTCGCTCTGTCGTCAATATAAAGCTTATATAGCGTTGCGTCGTAAATCGTGCGTTGTCGTTGGCGACGTTGACAAGCTGTCTCGCAGTAATTGTTGTCCACGTTTCGATTCGCTTGTCGTGCGTGCGGTGGGCACACGTGACTTCTAATATACCCTTGCCCCTACGTGGTAAACAAGAAAAAAGGCCACAGGTTCGCAAACACGAACCCACAAACAAACAGACACGCAGTTGCCATTAACCACATATGAGGCAGGGTAGTCGTCCACTCCTTGCAAGAGCAAATGAGAAAATGTCGCGCGTGGGAGAGCGCTCGCAGCGCCACGAGCGGCACACATTCGCGTCGCGACAGTCTGCGTTTTTCGCAACGATTGCTCATATTTTATGCATCGATGGCGAGACACGCGGATTTACTAGGATTAATAATTTACGGCTCTGCTGCGGCGGTAGGGGGCGCCGAGATCGAGTATTGGCCGGATTTCCTTTGAAACCGCAAACGCAGTCGCGTAAGCTTGCTAAAACAAGTAAAGGCGTAACAGGATTAGACCACACGGCGGCTCGGGGGCGGGGTAAAAAAGCGCATCGCGTTCCTGTTTACCAGTAAATCCGCAAACGAAAACAATGTTTATTATGTCTCCATGCGTATCTAGAAACGGGTGACGCGCTCCGGTTAAAAAAGATTTAACTTTTTAACCTCTGAGCCGTTTTCCGTTTCATCGCTAACCCTTTCCCGCACGAATGGATGAACCACACAGCGCGGCCGTGCAGTTACAGGACCCCCGTCGGTAGTTTCCAGTTGCTGGGTTCTTTTGCGCGGAAAGAGGCCGTCATAGCAGTCTGTCTCATGTACACGCGCGTGCGAGCGGAGCGGCTTTGCTAAGCAAATATACTCATATTGTTTGGGCGGGCCTTTCATCCTTCTGTTACTGATACACGCGTCGATATTGCAAGCATATGCCGCCGCCAATACCCTACTGCTGCGGCTAGCGCAAGAAACCTCAGCGAGTGCTTTCTCTGTCCCTCCCTCTCCCCTCTCACTGCCTGTCTGTCTCTCACTCTCTCTGTCACTCGTTTCCCGTCCCTCTCTATTGCCCCCATCTATATGCTCTTTTTTTCTCGAGCTCTCTCGCTCCATATACGTCCTGCCTATGTCTCTCTCTCTCCTCTTTCTCTCGCTCTCTCTCGCTCTTTCCTTCCTCTCCCTATATCTATATTTCCCTTCTTCTAGCTATGCTCTTTCCTCTCGCGCTCACTCTTTCCCTCGCTCATGTCTTCCAGTAATTGGCGATTCTAAGTTAATTTGTGTTTTAAGTGTCCACGAGGACAGATTCATTATACATTTTATATATTTACAATGACCAGCAGTCTCGTGTAGCATATCGAATCGTTTTCCGTCGCCACCCTTCCCTTGCAGCGGCCGCTAAGCATACCACACGACCCTTCTGCCTTGACCGCCCCCTTACAGGCCCTCCCTCTTTGGCGACGGCAGCATTACGCAACAGACCACGTGGCACGTACTGACACCGGCGTATTCTTAACCGGTATACACACACACACACACACACACACACACACACACACACACACACACACACACACACACACACACACACACACACACACACACACACACACACACACACGACACAATCACACGACACACACACACACACACACATATTAATATATATATATATATGTATGTATATATATAATGTACACAAATACACCGCATGTTCACCAACACAAAAGTAAAAGAACAAAAATAGCAAGTTTACAAAGTACACCGCTACTCGCAACATAGACACGCAAACAATCAGTACACAAGTAACAAAAGGTTCACGAACACCGTCGGGAGGGGGAGTCACGTGTCACGCGTCGTACTCTTAGCGACATTTTAGCGGCAATGTCTCGGTATGCGCTGCTGCGCAGGCGCCTGACTCGTCCTTGCAAAACACACACAGCGACGTCTCATGGAGATATATACTTATTCAGTCGAGGGTCGGCTGCATGATAGAGCGCTTCTCTATTTCACACACGCGTGCTATCATCGGTGCGCACGAGCGGCTGACCGAATTACGGGAGGCGAGACGCTCCGCGCGAACGCGCGCGAGAAACATCTTTCTCTATTTATCTCTCTCTCTCTCTCTCTCTCTCTCTCTCCCTCTCTATTTCTCTAGCTCTCTCATTCGCTCTCACCCTTCTCTTGCCCTTTCTCGCTCTCATTCTCTCTATCTACCTCTCTATTTTTCTCTCCCTCGCTCTATCTAGCTCTCCCTTTTTTTTCTCGTTCACTTTCTTGCTCTTCGTCGCTTAATTTCTCTATCTCTTCCTCTTCCTTGCTTTACTCTATTTCTCTCGCGCTGCCTATCCACCTCCCCTCCTTCTCTCTCCGCTCTCTCTCATCTCTCTCTCTGGCTCTCTCTCTCTCTCTCCTCTCTCTCTCGCGTCTTCTACGCTATTACGCCCGCGCTGAAAAAAATCGAACGACATCTCCTCGCCGAGGTAAAAAAATGTTCTGATGCGCGTCTGCTGAATTCTGTCGTAAAGTTTATATAAGCGATTGGTCGAAGCGCTCCGTAGTAATACGCATCTCGCAACGCGGAGACGGCATATAAACGCACGCTTGTTTCGCCCAGGGCTCGGCGCGTAGAGGAATAGAGTGCGTTATAAGCCCGCCTTTCTCGCGCCGCCAGCACCGAGAGCGAAAAAAAAAGAGCCGCGTGCAATACTACCTGATTACGCGTTTCCGGCAATCGATTTAAGATGTTTGTCTACGGCTACCCGTGTCGGAATGTGCAGGGTCGGTCTACCGCCCGTGCTAGCGTAGCGAAGCGCGTGCCGGGGAGTCAAACTGTTAATCGTGCGGACTCAACTGGATCGAGCTTGACATCAGTGTACCGACAGGCTGTAGCAAATTAGGACCACACTTACTCGCCGTCAGTCAATGACTTGCGTTGCTCGAACCTCACGCGCTTAATAACCACCCACGACTTACACTACGACCCGGCCACTGCCACACCACCCCAGAACCCACCGAGCCGCACACCAACGAACAGCCGCACCCACAACACTTCAAAAATCCACCCACGACCACAGTACAAACACCAGTACCACCCGCATAATTATATAAACTGCATATAAAACACAAACCAGGCACAAAACCGCCACCACACTGACGGACGGACGCAGGTATCCTCGTCTCTCTCTCTCTTCTCTCTCTCTGCTTCTCCTCTCTCTCGTCTCTCTCATCTCTCTCTCTTCCTCCTGCTCTTCTCTTCTCCTCTCCTCTCTCTCTCTCCTCGTGCTCTCCTCGAACGCACGAACCCTTGCTTGTGTGCGGGCACGCACGCTGCGCAGTGTTTGGTAGGTGTGTGTTATGTGGGTAGTGTTGTCTGCATTGTGTCGGTGCAGATGTGTGTGTGGTGGTGAATCTGCTGTGTGTGTGGTTGCGGTGTTTGCGTAGTGGTGCGGCCAGCTGCGTGCCGTGCGATGCGTGCACTGTGACGTGCTGCGCGGCGCGTGGCTTTGCCGTGTGTAGTTATGTTCATGAGATGGTAATGTATTTTATGACTGTGCCCGCGTGTGTGGGTGCTGTATGTCCTGTGCCACTGTTGGGTGTTCAGTGAGTGTGTGTGGGTGCTGTTTATGTGTTGTGTGTGTATGTGTGTGTGACGGGGGGGTATAATTTGCGGCATGTATGGGTTTATGGCGCGGTGTTTATGCATGTGTATGTGTCATGCGCAGCGCGCTGTGACGGTGTCTACGCTCATGTGATATCAACTCCACCGTGCCACGTACCATATTCAACGCTATAAGCCCAAACCTACGAGAGACTATCACCGATACAATGGACGCCATGCATTCTTATTCCCACATCACTTACCCAACAGGCATGTGCGATGACTCAGTTTCAGCCGAGTCTGCGCGGCGGCATTCCTTGCTTCGACGAGCCGCGCTGAAGGCCACCTTCAACAGTGATAACCATCTCACATCGTAGACGAGATTGAGCCTGCGCTGCTCAATCATGCGGCCGACCCGCACGCACGTGCATAAGCACGCCGGCGCCTACTGACACGCCACGGAATCGTATCGCTCGCCCGAATTCAGATCCAACCTACTGCTGGCGATGTCGTCGGAATTTTGCCTATCTGGAGCACAATCGACGACGCAAACGCTCGATGCGTTATGTTTACATATGTTACAGTCAGAGAATGTTTGGAACTTGCTGATAGGATTTAGCTTGTTGTATGCGTCATTGTGGGGCGATCAATGTGTTGCAGAGCGAGCAGTATGTTGTAGCGTGCAAAGTTGTGTAGCAGCGAAAAGGTTTATGTAGCGCGACCGCGTGTGTAGGCGAACAATGTTTTAGGCGACAGATATATTGTAGGCAAATACAGGTTTTGCTAGGGTGCGAACACGTGTTGTATAAGAGAACATGTTGTTTTAGGCCAGCAATTTATCGTTGTAGTGCATAACAGCCGTTTTATATGCCAAGGAGGTTGTTGTAAGCAGCAGTATAGTTGTAGGCGAGCAGTGTGATGTAAGGCGGCAGTTGTTGTAGAGAACAATGTTGTTAGTAGCCGAGCAGATTGTTTGGCGATATAGTGTTGTGTAGTGCGAACAGCGTTGTGTATGCCGCAACATGTTGTTGTAGGCTAACATTGTTGTTGTAGCAGGCAAATTTGTTGAGGGAACCAGAGTTGCTTATAGGCGAGAAGGTGTTGTAGGCTGAGCAGGGTTGTTGTAGGCAGAGGTTGATGTAGGTCAGCAGCGTTGTTGTAAGACAGAACAGGGTTGTGTAGCGAGCAGATTGTTTAGGCTAGCAGATGTTTAGACGAATAGGTTGTTGTAGGCCTGAAATGTGTTTGTAGCAACAGTTCTTGTAGGCGACAAGTGTTTTAGACAATAGGTATTTTGTAGACGAGCAGGTTTTTGAGGAGAACCAGTTGTTCTAGCTCAGCAGGTGCTTAGGCGAGCAGGTTGTTGTAGGAGCAGGTTGTTGTAGCGAATAGGTTGTTGTAGGCAACAAATTGTTGACCGCGAACAGTTTGAGGCGAACACGTTTGTGATAGGCCAATAGTTTGTGTAGGCATAACAGGTTGTTATATCGAACAGAAGATTGCGGCTAGGCGAGCCAGTGTTTAGGCGAGCGGGTTGTATGTGCGCATGTGTATGTACGAGCGAGTCAGTATTAGTTGTAGGCGAGCAGGTTGTTGTAGGCGGCACGATGTTGTACCATTCGCAGGTCGTTGTAAGGCGACCAGTGTTATATGCGAGGATGTTGCTGTAGGCGAGCAGTTGTGTAGGCCGAGCATTTTTTGTAACGAGGCATCTTTGTTCGTGGCGAATCTAGTGTATGTTGTAGCGCGAAACAAGTTGTGTACCGAGCAGGTTGTTGAGACAGCAGCGTGTTGTAGGCGAACAGGTTGTTGTAGGCCGAGCAGGCTTGTGTAGGGGCGAAAAGTTGTTCTAGCCAGGCAGAGCTGTTGTAGGCCGAGCAGGTTCGTAGGCGACAGGTGTATTGTTTCCGAACAGTTTGTTGAGCGCGAGAGAATTAGGGTAGCGAGCAGGTTTTTGTAGGCGAGCAGGTTTTTGTAGGCGAGCAGGTTACTGTAGGCGAACAGGTTGCTGTAGGCGAACAAGTTGTTGTAGGCAAGCAGGTTGTCGTATAGAAATATTTTCGTTAAAGGCGAGCAGGTTGATACACGCAAGCAGTATGCTGTAGGTAAGCAGTTATTCAATAGCAGCTTGTTCGTGGTTAGAGCAGTGAATGCCTTGTTTGCCTCACGTTCGGAGTTGTATTAGTATCGAATGCGTTAGAGAGATGCGGGATAAAGCTGCGATTACCCACGCGCATTTCGGCCCGATGTCGCGCGCAACGAACTCGCTAGGGCACGAAAGAACTTGCAGACTTCATCAATTGGGAACTCGAGCGAATCGAATCATGCTAAAGGCTAGCGCAGGCAGTCGCAAGAAGCGAATTCGTCCGCAAAGCCCACGCGTGGATCCTTTCGTATGCGTCTAGTGTTTCGACTATTACTATCAATTATATATAAGTGCAGGTGTTTCCAGCGCGATAGCTCTCTTCGCGCGAATGCCTCAACATTCGGGGATTTTCACTATATAACGATCTCGAAATTTTGTCGGAATACGAGCATTTTCTACTTTACCATTGCGTGTTTCCTTTTGCTGCATCATCCGACCGCTGTGCATCTTACCGCGCACTCTCCAGTCCCGCTGCCGTAAGCTTAAACGGTTAGCAGCGCATCGCAAACCTTTCTCAGAGAGGCGTGCAGGCGTCTAACGCAACGTAAGCCTCTAAGGCGCTTGAGAAAACTGGCGGAAAAAATTTCGTCGTAGTCGCCTTGTTGTTCTTCTTCTTCTTATACTACTTTATCTTCTTTTTTCTTCTTCGTCGTCTTCTTCTTCTAATTCGTCGTCATTGTCGTCTTTTTTCTTTTTCTTCTTTTTCTTTGTCTGATTCTTCTTCTTCTTCTTCGTCTTATTCTTTTAATTCGTCGTGCTCTAATGCTTCTTCTGACCTTTTTACCGCTTTTATTAATTTTTTTAAAATTATTATTATTATTATTATTATTAAAGTTAAGTTGTTCCGAACCACTCATAAATGTTAAATACTAGGATTAGTAGGCCTAACCTGTGCGACTATGTCTCTAAACCAAACAAATTTCTGCATGTCTTACATCTGTACTTTTCTGTGATATATCCTATTCTACCATTTTTATTTCCCACAATTACCGCTCATATGAAATCATTACATCACAATCTTAGCGTATAATTATATAATGCGTTACATCATTCTTCCATGCAGGTATCACCACGACACGTAAACAACTAAGTCTATTATCTTCGGTGGCATCGCAATATAAAAAACACACGATAGAAATACAATAAATTCGCAATAAATAGACGCCACATACGACTACACCACCAGCGACACGTTTTGCTTTCGTCATTCGCAGATTCGCACGTGGGCACGACCGGAACTCGTCAACGACACCGAACACTCGCTCAGCGTCGCAAAAACCTCCAGCGAGTTCCTGACGGATTACTTTCAAATGACTACGGTAATACCGAAGGAAGGTAAGATCGCGAGGGGACTTACTCGCTGCATAATGCGCGCATCTCACGCACAGCACTATAACTCGATCTTTTCGGCGACTAGAGCACTCCGGAGTGCTGTTTATCGGCTTCCGTGCACGCGTGCACGCGTTCCCAGCTCTGCTCGTATATAGAGGGTTTATTTTGCACGAAGTTGATTCATGTCAGCTGTTAAAAGTGAAGTGCCGTACGGAGCCAGTACTGGTTCTGGCAAAACAGCGTCTTCGCGCAACGCAACGTATATCGACGCACATGGTGCTTACTCCACATGCTAGAGCTGCTCATGTTAACTCGATCGGTCGAGACAGTTTTGCTTAATAAGAAGAGTGTGAGTCAGCGGCAATCGAGCGACGAGTTTGATGCCACGGGGGAATTCCCGTAATAATAATAGTCGGGAAGAAATTCGCCGGGGTTTAATTGCATCGACGTTCCCTGTAACGAGATGCACACCTTCCTATGGGGGGAAGGAGAAAGCAACGTGAGAAGGTAGATTAAAAAACATTAAACGACGACGTAGATGTGACGTGCTACGGCCCCGGGGAGAAATAATTAATTAGCGGCGTAAATTAAGCGGGAGTCTGCTGCGCCGGAGCGCGCTAACACTTTCAACATCCAGTAATGGGGGAAATCCCGCGACAAATTGCGCTGGATACGTTGGCCGGGAGGGCACTACCGCACCCTCCAGCAACCGTTCTCGCCAGCAACAGCCGAAAAGTGAAGCACGGCCACGATACAAACAACAGTCGCGACGACAACATATAATACACGATAAACACGCAGACGCAAGCACTATGCGGGCATGTAGACGCAAACGAGAGCACGCCTACGGGCAAGTGCGCACACGTATACGTATCCGGGCGCATATATGATAATGTGCTCACGCACGTGTGCAAGGAGAGATACTGTCTCTAGAACACACTATGTAACACACGTCTATATAAACGTACATCGATGGATCGATGCGGCAAACAAATTACACATCATATCACGCTACAAGGCAAACAAATAAACCCCTGTTAATCTTTACGCACCTGCGAAAGAGCTGTTATAGTATCAAGAACATATAAATAAGATTATCCTAGAGTTATATAACTACTAATACTATATTAGTAGTAACTTTTAGTTATATCATTACTTATACTACATTAGTAGTTAGTACTAGTTTTATAGTAGTAGTAACAACTTTTGATATAACTATCAGTATACTATAATTATATCAATCACTAGTGATATAATCTAGCACTATAGTAAGCCTAATATTAACTATATTACATACTATTACACCGTGACGTTATAAAGCGGCGCAGGCGAGCGTATGATGATAACATCATCAAGTTAATTAATGGTCTGGTCAGCCATTCAAGAAAATGCCCCGACGGGAGCTGATTTAACCAGACCAACAGGGTGCTACCATTGCCTTTCGAGACAGACAGATGCTTATATAGTAATATTAACTACTGGTTATATAATTATAAGTACTATATAGCACGCTTCATTACCGACAGATCACGTGTGTGTTCCTAATTTCGTCTCGGCGATGGAGAACTGGGGCCTCATACTCTATCAGGACGTCTACTTCATCTGGAACGAGTCAACGTCGACGATCCACGACAAGTACTTAGTGACGAAAGTAATCTCACACGAGGTTGCTCACACGGTCAGTATACACTCAGTAGCCGCCATTCGGGCCATGAAGCTCTCAGTGCTCGCTGCGCCCGA